TTATGTACAAATGGAAACAACGTGGGAGTCAAAATATTAAAATATGTATCTGTCAAAATATTAAATATTAAAATATTAAAATATGTATGTCTGTTTTTGTTGTTCTTGTTTACCTTGTATGTTTCAGGCAATACACTTATATACTACCACTACCTAAGTATATAAAGCCTTTCGAATTATACAAGAGCAATCACAATACTTGTTACAACAAATTTCACACAATACATGAGACACCTTTTATATAATAACAAGTAAATTCAAAATCTGTCATTGCACACACATATTTCGAAATCACACGTTCGAGAGATTATTGTGTACATTTCTCTGTAAAAGTCTTAATGAATTAATTAATTCTTAATATACTGAAACTCTTATTGCAGTTAATAAAACATAAATTTTACGAAACGATAAAAATGTACAAAATTAATCTACATTTGATGCAACCCTTTGATTTACCGAATTACTTAGTTTTCGTGCGTAAAAATATGCACACAACTATTAATTAATTATTAAACTGTATAATAAGTTATCGATGTTAAAAATATACGCATTCAACTTTTTAATAAAAGAAGCTTGCAATTAATAGTGTAAATGTTTAAAAAACTATTTACCGTATGAATGTTGTATAAAAGTATATTTGACATTCTCTTAAAGAAATTACGCGATTTAAGCAATAAACGTCTTGAATATGATTCATTGCACAGTTTAAATAAATAGTAAGCATCTTAATATACTGTGGAAATAGAAACAATTAATTCAATATTTAATATAACATAAAAAAAAATTTTTCAAATTTAATATAACAATTAATTATTGTGAACAAACATATAGAGCAACAATTTCTCAACATGAACATTCGAACATTAACAAGAATCACTTTGATGTATATTAATTTTCCCACGTATATTTAAACCTTGCTATTGTCAAAATTAACGAGCAAGGCTTATGTACATACGTATAATTCTGAAACAGTCTTTACCACAATTACCAGCTTTTCTTTTTCTTTTTTTCTAAAAAACACACAAGTTTCAATCACGAAACTCGATACTACCACGTGAAAGTGAATATATCTCTTCACCGTTGCAGCAAATATGAACGTGGAGAACTTCAGTGTGACTGAAGTTCTCCTCGCGGCGATATTCATTATAAATACTTACAGTCAATTCGCATTGTTTCTCACAAAAACTCGTGTCACGATGACACGATAAAATTCCCCGTGAGAATTTCGCAACTTGTTGTGTCGACGAATATCTGGGAACATTCACGACAGACAATCGACGCATGATTCGTTCGCTCTTATTGTTAGTTCGATGTACAACACGATTCCGTGTCGCTGTTTTGTTCGATCGTTTGTCCGATATAATTTCACAAGGAAAATGTCAGAAATACCCGATGAAAAAGTTTCACGTCCGTCTGTGCAAACGTATGTTTCGAAATGTATGTTTTAGTGCTCATTGTCGATTTAAATAATCAACAAATAACACACTCATTCGACATTTGAATATATATTTTTTTTTATAGTGCTTTAATAGTTATAGTTTGTAATGTTTGATAGTAGTTACAAATAATTTTTTCACGATGTTTTAATAGTTATTAATTTATTCGTTTTTCATAGTTATTTTAAATAGTGTTTTTAGTCTTGAATAATTATTTTTTTCCATATTTCTAATCGTATTTCTTATTCAAATACTTGAAATAAATATTTGAATATTTAAATACTTGAAATAACTCGTTCAATTTTTATTTATTTATTTGAATAGTGACTTTATTTGTATGTACACCGAATGAAAATAAATCAAGTAATAAAAATGTTTAACTAAAAACTAGATCAACTAATAAAGATAGTCTTAGAGAAATAAAAATTACGTTAAAAATAAAATTTTTCTTAAAATAATATAACAACATATAGTCGTGATAATATAATGGCAAACAATAGATCACAAAGTCATCAACAATGATTAAACTAAAGCTAAATAATTACAAAATTGTTTCACAACGAAATTTAAAGAATCTGGTGAATCAAAGTTTAATCGATATTATGAATTGAAATCTATATTGTGAATATAATTGGACCGTTTCTCATTAGCAACAGTGTAATATAAGATATAGCCTACATTGCACGAGAAATATCGACTCAAATAATTTGATTATAAATTTTAGAACTATGTCTCAAACTATATTTTTGCGCTTAAAATATTATTTCACTCCAGTTCAGTTCGAAATTAGCCAGCCTCGAGTACAAATCTTTTGACACGATTCTTAAAGTTCTAAGCAAAAAATGCTATCCTTTCCTTTCCATTTATTTTCGTGTGTCGCTATTTTATTTATTTTATTTATTTCACGTGTGTTCAAAAAGTTTCACGACATGTATAAAATACGATAGATTATAATTTAGGATCTTGGACTGGAGAGAGGGGATTATCTAGTTCACCTAAATACTAGTCTTTCACTAAAATTAAATACATACAATAATTTATAATATAATTATAAACTAATATAATTATAAATAATAAATAATCTAATTATATTAGTTTATAATATAATATTATACTATTATATTATACTATAATATTATAGTATAATATTATACTAGTTTATAATATAATATAATATAATTATAATAATATATAATATATTATATTATATTAGTTATAATATAATATAATTATATTATATTAGTTTATAATATAATATAATTATAATAATATATAATAATATATAATATAATTATAAACTTAATTCCCATTAAGTTTTCAATTTAATTAAATTTAATTTTTAAATTAAAATCTGTCATAAGCAAAATTCACCGGTATAATAGTGTTTACAAAACAAGTCTCACGATCTGAAGGACAGCTTCATGTTCACGTTCGTATCAACATGATTCGGATTGGCATTACTCTGACTCAACTTACGAACGAGGAACTCGTATCGCGAAAGCCGGGTCATCGAGTTATCGTGAAAGAACGTACCCCCGCGAGTATGAGCATATATAGGTGAGTAACAGTGAGAATTGATTGAACTCGCTATCGGAATGTTTGTTTAGGTCGTATCGAAAACAAACACCGACATTCATCATTGTGGGTGAGCTCAGTGATGTTATAGCCCGGGAAAAAACGTGGTATGGGTCAGTGTATGCTTGGACACAGTGCGTACATCGGTGAACCGAACGAGATTTTTACGATTGCTCGGAGATCAAAGACGATGAAAGTGAATATGAGTTGAGTTGCGATTGTTCGGTCAATTTTATGACATTTTCACGTGAAAACTACATTACACGTGTGTATTTTTGTGCTGTTAATTTCTTGATTCGTGAATGTGTAATGTAATGATATATATATATATATATATATATATATATATATATATATATATATATATATATGTATGTGTATGTGTATGTACGTTTGAAAACCGCGAGATGAAAGTTGAAGAACAGTGCAGCATAAATACACTTTATCGACTGTTTCAAACGTGCTCGTGTATTATGTGAAAGTATGAATTCAAAGATCAAGGTAAGAATGGATTAAAATGAGTAGATAATACAGAAAATGATAATGTTCGTCTGATTAGATGAACAGAGATATGTAAAAGGACGATAAGGCGATTAATGTTTATGTTTCATTGTAAACATATGTGGATTATACTTATTTAAATGGCGCGAAGCACACAGGTAAAGATACAATTAGAATTGCAAATGTAATTTGTTTCTTAACAAAGCGACTGCTCGAAACGATACTTTGAAACAATATAATGCAAAAGATATATTTATAAAATCGACGTTAATTCGGAAGAGTTGCAGACTTCGATGACTCGCATCAAATTGAATGTCAATCTTTACTTCAATCTCTCTGCCGAGCTTCACTTATTGCTCTCAGATTGCGATCTTATCATTTCTAGAGAACCACGAGGATCCTTTGTATCTGTTTTATGTTTCTCCTACCATGCAGTACCGAATTTCTTTGCAATAATATTATTACACGTTTCCCAGTATTTAACCTCTTGCGCTGGCAACTGATTGCGGACCATAACGAGTGACCGAACCAATTATACAATAATTCGTCGCTATCTTTCTGAACCCGTCGGTATGACATCACTGGATAGAAATGACTAAGAACTAATAAACTTATCATCTGTTTTACCTGGGTTACATTTAAATATACTTGAAACTGAGAAAACGTTGCAATTTTGGAACAAAAAAATTCTCAACATGCGTGGCACGTCATTCCAGCACAAGAGGTTAATAAAGAATGACTTGCAGCATAAATCAATATAAAACCATTTGTATTTGAAAAATAATAATTGACCTTCGCAAAACCATCTAGAAACAAACTAATTACACTAAATTCTCCTCGTAACATTGTGTATTTCAGCCACTTGCGCTGGCAACTGATTGCGGACCATAACGAGTGACCAAACCAATTGTACAATAATTCGTCGCTATCTTTTTGAACCCGTCGGTATGACATCACTGGATAGAAACGACTAAGAACTAATAAACTTATCATCTGTTTTACCTGGGTTACATTTAAATATACTTGAAACTGAGAAAACGTTGCAATTTTTTGACAAAAAAATTCTCGACGTGCGTGGCACGTCATTCCAGCGCAAGAGGTTAATAGAGAATTACTTGCCATATAAATCAATGCAAAACCATTTAGGTACGTGATTTGTATTTGAAAAATAATAATTGACCTTCGCGAAATCATCTAGAAACAAACTAATTACACTAAATTCTCCTCGTAACATGTGTATTTTAACCACCTGCGCTGGCAACTGATTGCGGACCATAACGAGTGACCAAACCAATTATACAATAATTCGTCGCTATCTTTTTGAACCCGTCGGTATCACTGTACAGAAATTATTAAGAAACTATTAATAAACTTATCATTTGTTTTACCTGGGTTACATTTAAATATACTTGAAATTGATTAAGAAACTTTCTGACGTACATCTGTTACACTTACACTAACTCGACAATCCTCTCAATTAATTAATTCGCTCTCGTATATATAGATCGTTCTCGGTTGACCAATCCGAGGCTTATCGGATGCAACGTACGAAAAAGCAACAAATCATAACGCGCGAGCAAATCTCATCTCGCCGCGTGCCTCCATTTCCGCGACTGAATCTAATCGTCGTCTATGAATCAAGCGAGATCCAGCGAACACGCGACGTTAATCGACACGCGGCTCTAAACGACACGAAACAAGAAACCGTCGGATTTATTAAATTAGCGTTCCCATGGTTACCCGGTGGTCAAGGAAAATCGGCGTTCCGTAGAGACGATCGAACTCGGAACTGTAGCGTCGCTTCGTCAAACCGGACACGTCGGATCGAAGACTCGCGGCGATCCTAACCTGCACGCGATACACGCTAGTTCTCACGTGTCAAGAAACTGTTCGAGGAACGTGGATCGATGAGAAGTTTTTGTCGTTGATCGTTCGATTTATCGGTTTAACGTTCTATGGTCGAGCGTTCGAAGTCGACACAGAAGCCGGGCAAGTGTACGTATAATGGCTTACTCGTCGTCCCAGTTCGTTGTCAGACGTACCCGGTTCCATTCGCGTCTAACTTTGACGATGGAACTTCATTATTGAAGCGAGATCTCGGTTGGTGGTTTGCAGTGGCTTGTGTTTGGACGAATCTTTTCATCTGTGTACAAAGTCCTGTTATTTGGGTGAGAAATTGTAATTGAAACGGTAGTTGAAGTTGTTACGTGTGTGTGAATTTGTTTTCCATTGGGGTTCAAATATAAATTGAATTTATGTAGAAAAAATGTTATGAAAGTTGTTATGTGTATGAAATGTTTCCCATTGGGTTCAAATATAAATTGAATTTATTTAGAAAAAAATTAGACATTAATAAATACGACAAACATTTAATTTCTGAATATATATTTGTTTCTTTTACTTCATAAAAAAGGTAGCTATATATTTAGATCATTTACTTTCGAAATTATTAAAATTATTAAAATAAATTGATTAACCCTCATATCGAAGGTACAAAACAAATTTTGCTCATTGATTTTTTGAAAAATTCATTTTCATTACTTTAAACTGTAAATAACATTATTAATTTTTAATTATTACTAAAATATATTTTTATTATAAAACTATTATTTCATTATGTTAATTAAAAATTATATTTACATGCATATAAATAAATTTATATTTGAAGAAAAATAAAGTGTCGATATTGGAATTGTAAAACTTGTGAAAATAACGAGTGTCGGATTCTTTCTGTTTCTGTTTCTGTGATCACAAAAAACACACGTGCTTTTAGGAAAATCAATACTGACTTTTATTGAAATAAAAGAGTAATTATGTTTACAAGGTCGAAAGTGAATAAAATACCTTGAAGGTACGAAATTTATTTAATATGTTTTAACTTTTCTTAATTAAAATAACGCAACATCTTAGGAGATTAGTAACGTAACGGCGTATTAATTAATTTAGAGTATTCTATAGCAACCAATCTTTAGCCGCTTTTGCGGTATGCTTTAGATCTCGATCTTAAAAGGCTTGAGAATTCGGCAGCTAAATTCGATTTTAAGATACGTATCTAAATTAATTTTTTAACAATTCTGTAACCTCATGAATTGCTTAATAAAATATTTTTTGTGTCTAGTTCTATAATTTTTACATTTATATGTAAACACATCTTTTAAATGCCATAAATATTATGCTATAACATCATATTATTGTCTAAATCTTAATGATTATTATACTTAATATAATTCATAAATCTCATAGTTTAGTTAGACACATATATTTACTTTTTATTTTCGCTGTATGTACATACTGTGTATGTGACAATGTAATAAATTCTCATTATGAATAATAACGAAAATTATCAGGCAGCCTAATAAATATCAATTTGACGTCAATGATTTCCATGGGAGCAGTTTTTATCATTCACCCGTATACTCAATTTTACTTGTTATTGTTAATAATGCCCATATATATTATGCGTAGTATCCAGATTTATTACATTGTCCATACCAAATATATGAACAATTGTTTATTTTAATCGCACTGTTTCGATTCTAATTATCTATAGTATATTTAAATATTTATTAATTATCTATATAGTATATTTATTAATTATAATATAAATATTTATTAATTATCTATATAGTATATTTATTAATTATAATATAAATATTTATTAATTATCTATATAGTATATTTAAATATTTAAATAATTAATTATAATATATTAAATTATTATATAATAATCAATATTAATATTAATATATTAATTATAATATAATAATTATTATTATTTTATAATAATTAATACTAATATATTAAAATATTTAAATATTATCTAATTATCTATGTATATAATATATTTAAACATTCATAAATAGGTGACTCTAGTTTTATACGTATTTTATTTTAGAACACTAAAATAAATTCTGATTGCTAGTTTTTAAAAGTATAACGAGTAAAGCAACGTCTTCAGACTGAAATAGATGTTTTAAGTCTGAAACATTTTTAACTTAATAAATATACAAAAAAAAAATTTGCAACTGAACTCACCGAAGTTTAATTTATACAAGATGGCGATATCTCTTTGCGCAAAGATCCAGAATTTCATTCTCAGAAAATAACGCTGACCAATTCCATTTCTATGCGATTCTAATCTAATCACGAACCCAAACTCTAATCTAACCAAAACTGAGATCTGCATCGGATCTAGCGCAGCTCTTGAAACAATTTCACTACAGATTTCACAACTGGCGATAACTCTCGAAACAAAGTTTTTCCAAAATCAAATCTGGTATTTTTGAACTTTAATTTTAGCTATTGTCAGTTTATTAGAATTTCGGTTATCACTTAATTAATTTTTATTTTTATTTTCACGCAGTAGTCACTGATTTTACTCGTACAAATATTTTACAATGACTATAAATGAATATAAAATGAATATGATCGAGAGAAAAGTTCTACTTGACTAAAGTAATTGAATAATACTATTTTTCTTTCTTTCTACAAATGCACAACGTATCAAACGATAATAATAAGGAATGGGAATACATTCGTTAATGTACCACAATTATTGTTGCTAAATTTAAATTACAGATAATAGTATCTTTTCAATTTTCTGCGTCCTTCACTTTTATAAATTTTAGTTAGGGTAGTGCGGCGGTAGATGGTAAAAGCGACAAATTATTGTATACGGTCTGGTCACTCGTTATGGTCCGCAAGTGGTTAAATTGCAATTGTGCACGAAAATCCACTAGTCTAATCTGATCTTGTTTGTTTCAGATTTAATTCATTCACAAAAATATCCAAAGATCAGTGAAATTGCACACGAGAATTCGTCTACGATGTTCTGCCTAAAAGGGAGGAACAGCGGCGACGCGAAACTTAAAGAAATGTTGAAGCAGGATGATTTCGGCTGGTGGTTGAACAACGAAGACAATCTAAAGTCGCCCAGAACCGGTCGCAGTAAAGATCGTCAATCTGTAGGATCGACCGAATCGATGTTCTCTTGCGTGGACTCTGACGATAGCGACAGTTATTTCCTTGCACAGGAATTCAAACAAGAATGTAACGACAATTACGAAAAGATAGAGCTAACGTCGTTAATTAACGAGGATTTGGACATAAATCTTATCGAACAAGACGCGATTGAAAACGACACGGTAAGTTGATGTTATTTGCTCTTTTGGGAAATTTAACTTTATTTGCTATTTCTGAAATTTGAATTCGTGATAATTAGAAAATTAGGTCGTATTAACAAACAAATTAATTGACTGAATGAAAATCTAGCTGTGAGAAAGATATAGCAATTTTAATTCAACACGTTGCAATTTCTAATATATCGTATCTTTTTAATTTTAACATAACTGAAGCTAGAATTATTGTACTGAAAAAAAGAGGCTTCAACATGAATTTTTAATAACCATCCATGAATCATATGCATATATTGGAATTTTTACTAAAACAGATAAAATAATATATAAATATAATATATAAATAAATTTAAATTTATTAATTTAAATAATAATATATAAATAAATTTAAAATATAATATATAAATAAATTTAAAATTATCAATATATAAAATATTTAATATTTCTAAAATATAAAAATTTTATCTGCAAAATAAATTTAATAAATTAAATAATAAATGGCAAAGAAAATACCAAAGTATAAAATGTTAAATAAAATGAAGAATTAAAACGAAATTCACCGTACCCTCATTTTATAATTATATAAAAAATTACTAATAAATTAGATTTAGATAATATATAAATAAATTTAAAATTGTCAATATATAAAATTATTTATAATTTAATATTTCTAAAATATAAAAATTTAAACTGCAAAATAAATTTAATAAATTTAATAAATAATAAATGGCAAAGGAAATACCAAAGTATAAAATGTTAAATAAAATGAAGAATTAAAACGAAATTCACCGTACCCTAATTTTATAATTATATAAAAAAGTTACTAATAAACGAGATTAGATTCAAATATAAGATAAAATGATATTAAATTTATTGAGAAAAAAATTATGTACATTAAAAGTATTAAAGTCAAATTTAATAATGCGCAATAACTTTTAAAGTGTATTAAATTTAGATTTATAATAATAATTCTAAAAATTAAAATTATTATAATAATTAATCCGTTTGAATAATAATTTAAACTAAAGTTAAAAAAAAATTATTCTACAATTTAATGAGTTGAATGATTTATGGACTCGCTTCGTTATTTTCGAACAGAGAAAACCCAACACGACGACTAAGGCCTCGTTAACTCATTAGAATTGGAGAATAGATTGGTTATGTCAATAGCGTATAACGTGCCATAGCCTATGGGATCACCTTTTAGTGAAAGTTCTATTTCAATGAATATTTAAACAAAACGCGAGTTGACAAATGATTGCGAACGAATTTGTCCTCGTCTTGAGGCTAAAAAAATCTTGAAGCCCAATGGAAAGGAAAACGAGAGAGTTTCCTTCTATTTTCCATCGGCTCGGAAGGATAGTAGAGAAATCGTTTAACCTCCGATCGGTACTGATCGTCTCCTGAGAATTCTCCGATAATCTAGGGGTAACATTGCGTTCAAATAGACCACCAAGGACAGTCCCTTAAGAGTCAGCGTGCACTAAGCGTTACGCTGTATTATAAAATCATTTGTTGCACGCGAACAATACTATTATTATTATATATTGTTTATTATTTATTATTATTATATTGTTATATTTTATTATTATATTAATATTTATATTAATCAAATAATAATTATATAATAAATAATACTATATTAATATAAAATTATATTATTATATTTTATTATTATAGTCTTATGTTTATACTTAAAAATAATATAATAATATATAACAATTGATATAATAATAATATTGTTAATATTCATATTAATATAATAATAGTATAATAAATAATATTATATTAATATAAAATTATATTATTATATTTCATTATCATAATTTTATATTTATACATAATAATAATATAATAATATATAACAATATAATTAATATAATAATAATATAATAAATAATATATTATATTAATATAAAATATATTAATATAAAATTACATTTAATTATATTTTATTATAAAATTAAATTAAAATATATTAAAATTGTATTTAATTATATTTTATTATATTTTATTATTATAATTTTATATTTATACATAATAATAATGTAATAATATATAACAATATAATTAATATAATAAATAATATTATAATAATATATAATATAAAATTATATTATTATATTTTATTATTATATTAATATTTCTATTTATTATTTATTATTACATATAATATCGTAATATATTACATATAAATTTTATGTATAATAACTTTGTGCGTGCATACGTATATACATACGTATACTTTTCTTCATTCATAGCGTCGTTTTCTAAGAAAATATACTCTGCGTCTATTTCGTTAAAAATTGCCTTGGTACTTGATCAAGTTTCAAACTCGACATGCAAAAAAGTTGCACATCCTGTTGATTATTCTTTTCTGTCGCGTCTTAAAATTAGCTTAAGGTTCAACTTGATAAATTTTCAGACTCGATTTTCTCGAAAACGGGGCGTTTAACCTGATCGGTTGTATACCTCATAGTCATAACTTGTTCATTTTCAAAATGGTCATTCAAGGAATGTTGTCGTTCACGCATGAATACTTTAAAAAAAATCCATTAATTATATTTCCAAATAAAATAATAAAAAATTTAAAGAAACGTGTGCTTGTAAATGTTATTTTCGTTCTAGATCATTCAGTCTTTCACAATTTCGGGAACGCTATTTATTCACTTGAATCTCGTTTTTTTTTATTCACTTGATCTCATCAACAAGTACATAGTACAAGCTTCGCCTTTTCGTATTGTGGGATGGGCAAATTCTGGGAAAGGGCTCAGAACTTTCTCCAATGCTCAACAATTGTAGCCAAATGTCCCAAGTGGCGTCCTGTGGCGAAAGTTAGGCCCTCCAGGTCTAGCGCTCAAAATATTAAGGGTATGGTTGCGTTTGTGTGTGTGTGTGTGTGTGTGTATGAACGACGAATGTTTTGTGCAGACGAGGAAGAGAGTAGCGAGTCGTCAGTGAGTTACAAAGAGTCGTCTGTTACAGAGAGTTTCGATCATTATCAGAAAGAATATAGTTAGTCTAGGGAGTAGCGATTAAGAAAGAATAGTGGTTAATATGAATCCTTCAAATCACCATTAAACAAAATTCTTACTTTTAACTTTGAACAAACTACCTTCTTATACGAAAATTCCTACAGTGTATTACTTTGCGTTTTGTATATTATTTCTCAAAATGTACCAAGCAGCTTATTGTAACAATCTGATGAACCGGCTATTGACAGTTTTGGTAATTACAGGACTATTTCGCGCCATTTCAAACGGAAGATGATGGGATACGGTGCTCGACAGATTTGAAGTCGCAGCAATCGCACGGCATATGCTACACCCCGGAAAGGCTGGTCAGATCTCAGAACTACCGGATACTAACGCCTTCGCCTCGCTATTTATCCATCTCTCAAGTGAGAGACATGGCAGAAAATCCATGGAAAACGTCCTTGTGCCGCCGGGGATTGAACTATCTTATCGACTCGAACCAAGATGGTACGTATATCTTGCTGTTTAGAAGAGAGAGAGAGAGAGAGAGAGAGAGAGAGAGAGAGAAAGAGAAAGAGAGAAAATGTTGGGCCAGTTCCGATATTTGCCGAGCGTGCAACAGCGGATCGCCATCAGCTAACTTGAATATAATCCGACTATTGTGCCTGACCTAGTAAAGTTTCGCGGTTTACCAATATGTGAAATCGGCTCGCTTCGTGCTCGTTAGACGTACCTTCGCCTGTACTCTTAAACTTGCTTCACGATCGTACATCGAATACGTACGAGAGAATCTCGGAATTTTACGACACGGTTTATTAATTATCTGTGACGGTTGAAATTTCTGAAAAATTGATTAAATATCCGAAAAGAAAATATCATGTACATCCATTTTTAATGTTTCTTTTAAAATTTAAATAGTTAGTATTAATAGTTATGTTAATATTAGTAATATTAGTATATGGTATGCATATTATTAGTATTAAGTTTTAATTATCTCTGATGATTGAAATTTCTGAAAATTAATTAAATATCTGGAAAAAAAAATATCATACACATCTTAAAGATTTCTTTTGAAATTTAATATTAATATTAGTATTATATAATATTAGTAATGTTAGTGTATATTATTAGTATATATTATTAGTATTAGGTTTTAATTATTTATAGTATATATTATTAGTATAGTATATATTTATAGTATATATTATTAGTATTAGGTTTTAATTATTTCTGATGATTGAAATTTCTAAAAATTGATTAAATATCTGGAAAAAAAATATCATACACATCTTTCTTTAAGATTTCTTTTGAAATTTAAATAGTTAGTATTAATACTTATATTAATATTAGTATTATATAATATTAGTAATGTTAGTATATAGTATATATTATTAGTATTAGGTTTTAATTATTTCTGATGATTGAAATTTCTAAAAATTAATTAAATATCTGGAAAAAAAATATCATACACATCTTTCTTTAAGATTTCTTTTGAAATTTAAATAGTTAGTATTAATACTTATATTAATATTAGTATTATATAATATTAGTAATGTTAGTATATAGTATATATTATTAATATTAGGTTTTAATTATTTCTGATGATTGAAATTTCTAAAAATTAATTAAATATCTGGGAAAAAAATATCATACACATCTTTCTTTAAGATTTCTTTTGAAATTCAAATAGTTAGTATTAATACTTATATTAATATTAGTATTATATAATATATAATATTAGTATTGGTGGTTATATTGATATTATATTATAAAATAATATTGTATATTAATATTAGTTATGTTATATGTTATATATTAATAGTTATAATTAGTTTAGATACAAGCGTTGCACAAAATATCCTCGAAACGATCATATTAGCTTCTCAAATAAATTATTCACCATTGCATGAAAGAATCTTTGCTATTTGTGTTAAATCTAATTGTTAAGGAAAATCTATTTCCAACGTAAAAAGATTAAGCATCGGTCAGCTTACTTTAGCGCTGGAATCTAAAGAAATTTAAATAGTAAAGTCAGTCGCTTTCTAAAAACAATTAAAATTAAATTAAACTAAATTGGGTTTATATTCTGTTCATTCAGGTGCAATGCAGCTGAAAGCTTTCATGAATCCCAATCCGAAAGAGATAGTGGTGCCGACGATCGACTTGCATCGTCGGAGAAAATACGAACGTGTCTACAACATTAGTAACGGGACGGTTGCTGATAAAAACGAAACGAAAAAGGAAGATGTGTCGAATGGGGAATCGAATACGGAAAGCCCGAACATGTTCGATTGTTCGTTCAACAAGAGATCAATTTACGAGAGATTAAACGACACGTGGGAGAGCCGCGACAAGTTGAGGACACGTAACTCTTTCAGTGCTTGCTCTGAAACGAGCCCGTTCGAAGACACGTCCAATATTCAGAGTAACGATTGGACCTCCAACACGCACACTTTGAATATGCAAAGCTCTTCTCTCAGTGATGAGTTGGCGACGACGAATTACAAGATTGATGCCACACAGGTTTTATTTCTTAAATGATACATTATAAGTTGAAAAGAAACAAGAATAAATTAATGTTGGTTAACCCATTAAAGAACCAAGCAGTATCTTATCGTGATATTACATAGGACATTTAAATATCTTGAAAATTCATTAAATTGTAGAATTTAAATGGAAAATAATATTAGAAAAGATTTGAAGTGAATCTTTGGAATTGCAAAGAATTGCAAATGAAATGTTGATTGAAGAATTAAATGAATAAAATTAATTCATAGTAATTTAAACAACAATTGTTTTCTCGTTCCTTCGTATTGTGCTTATTCGTCTTTTTTAATATCCTATTATTCTTAAATTTCGTGCCAAAAGTCATTTACTGAAATAAGAGTAAAGAAGTATGATAAAAATGTTATTTATTAAGTTATGCGTAATAAACATGGAAAGTAATTTTACGTAGAAAATCTTTTTTCGTAGAAAATCCTTAACTTGTTCGATGGATAAATTTCATCCTTTTAAAATAATTTGTTATTTATTATTTTAAAAATTACTAGGAATAATAAAAAATATTAATACTCATTTATTTTTTGTCAATTTAAAAATTACTAGTCAATGAGAAATAAAATAAGTTAAATTAAGTGTTTTCTTTATAGTTTTCTTTGCGTTAATGAATAATTATTACTTATCACTTTGAAAAATTTCATTTCGGTTTCTTTTTATTTTTAACAGGGAAAATGTTCTACCACCAACCAGGCAGTGTCAGTTTTCAAAGCGCTCGACACAAATCCCGAGGAAGCTGCGGTCCTTCTCGAAGAAGATCGTTTCTACGACAGCATGTCTACGCACGATCAATTGACCAGGCTGGCCCTGGCAATCGAAACGGACGAAAATATGTCGACGACCCTCGAAAAAGAACCTCTAATTCATCTTCAAAACAAAATAAAGAAACTTCAAGATAGCAACAAAGATATTTACAGAGATATATCTGATCTTCGGAAAAGCTTTCAAGTAACAACTTTTGAAACTATATATTTTAAACCGAAATTCTGTCGGAGGCATACTCTTCAATAAAGTAAACATTTGAACGATTTCTAGGAAAAAAATTGTACTAGTGTAAAATGCTAAAATTTTTCTGAATTGCTGACTAAAAAATTTTAAAAAGTTATGTAGAATTCTTTTCTAAATATATTGTGATACATGTTTCGAACATAATATTATATTTTAAAGGTAAAATATTTACAAATATTTAAAAATTAATTAATAACATTCATAAATTTAATTCGTTAAGTTATGTTTAATCGGACATTTATCTAACGTAATATGGAAAGAAATTTGATAAGAAAGTCGAAAGACTTTGTATTTATAATCTAAAAAATTCTTCATATTCTAAAACTGTGGTTCATTTGAAACTTGATAAATCGATAGTTTTGAAAAATACAAGAAACTTTTCATTAGAGGCAGGTTTTTAAAAAAAACAAATCAATACCAGAAAATAATAACGATTGAATTATTTCTTATAAATATTCTGTTCAAAAATATCTTTCATAACATGCTTTTTTGACATTAATTTATAAAATATTATGAAAAACATAAATTTTCTTTATTTTTCAGTGTGACGAAGAGAAAATGGCAGATATTTTGTTCAATACAAGTAAACTGCGACAAGAAGTACATGATCTGCGATATTTCGACGACCTTTTAAATCTCTTACAGGGAGAATTGGAAAGGATCTCGAAAAGGAATTGGCCATTTGTTATAGGACGTACAAATAATGATTCGGAGGAAATGAATCTCATCGTGTGAACGATACAAAATTATTTCCACGGTAGCATATAACGAAAGATTGTTTAATATTACGAAATAATACCTCGTTACTTAAAAAACACAATTAAATATTTTTATAAGATACAAACACGCTAGGAGTGTTTTACTGCCATTGTTAATTCATGATGAAGTAAAATTGAACTTATATAATAAATTTTGCAGTTTCTTCCGTACAACTGACTAGTAACATAAATTTCAAACAATATAGCATATAGTTGGTTCTACGAGAGAAATTTTTTTCATAATGTTGTGTTATCTAATTAAATGATCAATAAATAAAAACGCGTAAAATTTCTATTAAAATGAATTTCTATACTTTTGTTTGCGCAAATAGAAATTAAACATATATTTTACAGAATAGTTTTTTAAGAGATATATTCAATTTCTATTTTCTGGAATATGAAAATAATACATTACTTAGATACATTCTTTTCCTTTTGAAAAATTTATTTAGGAATTGTATAATGTATTTTTCGATAATTCTTTTACTTTTGTGATTTAATAACTTGTACAAAATTCTCATATTCTTGCTATTGAACTGTTACCAGTATTAGTGTCAGTACTTAATCACACGATATACTACAGGCAGGTGTCATTTATTTAAAATTAATGCTTAAAACAAATATGAGTTCTACATGAGTTCTAATTTTGGATTTTGTTTATATAGTTGCTTTAACAATAATTACAATTAATAAAACGTTTAACACTACTTCTTGATTAGTATGAGTATTAATAATTTGCAATCATTAATTTTAGGTAATTATATAACCAAATTAACTAAATGAATTAAATTAATTTTTTGAAATTTGTATGTTTAAGTAAATATGTATTAATTAAAAATATTCTATAAAAAATAATTTAACTTTATATTTGTATTAAATATTTAAATTCTGCATGTAGATTATCATTTGTAAAATTTTAAAATTACCAAATTTAAACACCTGCTCATCAACACTTTTAATAATAAATAAAAATATGTAAAATATTAGACTGTTTCGTAGCACATTTGTAATGATTTCTGTGATTTTTCGATGAAATTTTCCTTTGATATAAGTGAATCGCTATTGCAGAAAGCTATTAAATAAATATTTATAAAAATATTAGCTATTAAATAAAGTTTCATAAAAATATTGTACCTATAATATGTCCATGAAATTCTATAAATGTATTATCGATATTATAACTTAAAATATATTTTGAAATTCTGTTTTATACAATAATTTGCAACTATTTTCATTACAGAAATCAAATATTTTAGGAAATAATAATTTTTTACACTCATTCCACTTACAACTACATTTGATACATTTTTTTACATTTCAGTGTACTTTCTAATTATTTAAATTGCTTACAAGTTTTCACTCATTCAACATTTATTTCCATCAATAAAACTTATTATTTAATATTACTTTTTATTCCCTTATTTATTATTTATATGTATGACAACGAAATGTTAAATCATTCTTCTACATCATAATTCATAATAATAGTTCATACTTAATATATTATAATTTATAAGTAACAAGTCAGAATTAATTTGAAACCATAAATGAAACTATATATTCTAAATATTATAAAATTTAACATTAATTAGTGAATATAACAAATTTCTAAATTTACGTATGATTTTATTTTTATCAAGTGTCTCACAATTACAATAATATTTATCAAGAATCATTAATGAAACATCGATGTACTTTAATGTACAACTGCAATAAAGCAAAATTTCATTTCCACTATTTTGTTGAATATTTATAATTAAAAATTTTATCTTTTTACTAATTTTCAAAAATTTGTTTACCTATAATCGACCATTATAAATATGTAATTAACATTAGACTGTTAACTAGGAAGAACAAAATAAATCATCTAGTTTCTCGATACTTGAACTTAATATTTTATTTATCTAGAAATCTTCTATTTTCAATATATCATTATATTTTTATCGTACATACTTACATTAATATTATATTTTTATTTACAAGAATTAAATCTGGTTTAACATTAATCTTAAAGTCCTGTTAAGAGAAATTTCTATTCAAAACAAATTTACCATAAATTTTAAGAAAGTGATGTTTTTTTGAATTTTTGAATTTTGATGAATTTTTAATTTCTTTGTAAAAAAGACTCGATAGGTATTTTTTCATCTCGATTCTTTTTGCCTGTATTGTTTCATATTAAATTTTCGCGACATCATAAAAACCTGAATAATTTATTGTACAATATTGATTGAATCAAATAAAAAATTAACGCGACGTTTGTATTACATATCTGTCATATCAAAAAATAAAATTAAAACAGAAATTTTATTAAATCTTACAAATTGAAATTAAAACAAAATTAAAATTCTCCGCCGAATAATTCTATCCATTACTTAAATCCAACGTCGTTTAATATTAACTGCAAGTTTTATTTTCTTAAATAACATCGCATAACTTTCGAAGACATATCAATAAAACTACAACTCACGTATCATATAACTTCATCTTTTTGTACATTACTGTAAAATAATCATTTATATTAATAATATAATAATTTATAGAATCTCAAAGTAAGGAATGTTTTACAAAATGTGATTCGATATAAAAAATATTTTTACAAAATTTATAACAGCGAGACACGGTGTTTACAAGTTCTTCTTAATTCTTTACATTTTTCACAGCTTATACAGTTACTTATACAGTTTTTAATATAGCCCTCAATACTAAAACGCGACGAAATTCGACATACTCAGCTTTACAATTTCTAACATGAATTAATATTTAAAGCGAAAGAATTCATGAATTATTATATAAATTAGGTGACATCGGTACGCTGTGGCTGCTTGAAATGTTGCCTCGAGGAGTCATGATATGCAATACCAACTCGCAACATTTCACCATGCCGAAACACGTCGTGCGGAGAAGACAGAGAAGGCAAAGATGGTAACGACGGTAATAAGCAATTTAGCATACTGGCACTACCATCTGATGAGTAAATTCCATTATTGGCAGAGACAATAGGGGCCGTGCTTGAAGTTGACGCAGAGACCAGAGTAGAGTTAGCACTTTGATCACCATTTCCCAGTACACCTGATCCCATCAAACTTCCTGTTCACAAAGACATAAGAATATCACATATTGCACATACTGCTTAATTTATTTCGTACCAAGTAGTCAAATGAAAAAGAGAAGAAATAAGAATAATATGTAATAAGAATATAATGTCTTTCATTAAGTTAATTTTATGATACACTGTTAAATATTAATTTTATGAATTTTACAAATTACGAAAGTTGTTTCATATTCTTAGTGACGTCTTCAATCATTTTTGTATAAATATAAGTCTTTTAAAAGTCTTATTCTGTTGATAACACATTAGGCTTATTTTCAAAACAAATTTTACAATCAGAAAAATGTTGCTTTGATCTTCTCTTTTTCTTTGAGAATAATTACTTGTAATTTAAGAAAAATTGCAAACGTACATTAATTAAAATTTGTACTGAATTCTTACATTGTCACCAGATTTTTATAATCATCGAATACTTTAATTTAGTAGTGTATATAAATTGATTTTTTCTACTAATTTCGATTGCTTTTTCATTGTTTGTAACTTAATATAATCAATGTATTTTATTAAATTTATACATTGAGAACAATTTCTTTTTTTAACTTTATATACATATAAAGTGTTGTACAAATGTTACTTAAAGTATGCATTCAATGACAAATATAAATTGAAGATAATCGTGCATATGATTATTTTAAATAAACATAATATTACAAAAGAATTTTGCAAACAAAATAATTGACAACATTTTTAACATAAATACTTGTATTTTGTTTCTTATTTACTTACACTTACAATACAATAACTAAAAATAATTTACAGTCTCTCAACATATGATGGCAAACAAATTAAAATATGTAAAAGTTACAAGTTTTGATTCTTATTTTTATCTGATTATATATACAAAAAATTAATCGTAAGAAAACAGTTACAGAGAACTTGACATCATAGGAAGATCGATACAATATTACTTTCTATTTTTCTTTCAATTTATATACTATATCAATCAATCAATCAATTAATCAATTTACATAAGTATTATATGATTTCAAACGACACTTTTGTTTAATTAATTAAACAAATTAATTACAGATATTTAAATATATTGATGAAACAATACAGACTTTTATACTATACCAACTCATATTTTAAATCATAAAATTTATATTTTATGTTACAAAAAAATGCTAGTCTTTAATATTAAAAAAAGTATCGCAAAATAATACTGAAATTAATTTATCTTATATAAAATAACTGAGAAAAATATAAATTATTAAAGAGAAATATTTACGTATTCTACTAATACAGTATATCATATAATAAATCAATCAAAATCATTGTAAGAAGAAGACTTGAAGTATTTTAAATATTAATTAATATTATGATTATGAAACTACAAATTATAAATGAATAAACTTTTTTTAATACCACAAACTTTAATACAAATTATTAAAATATTAGTTGTTATACTCTGTATCATCAACTACCAAAAGTAATTGTATCAATCATTCCTCCTTTTCTCTATTTCAAGCTGCTAAGCATTCACCTGCAAGGCTGACATTCGATGCATTGGAATTGACTGTCGAAGCGATGGATAAAGAAGTTAACGTCGACAAGTCGGTATTCTCTACAACTCTTGAATAATCCGTCCTTGTTATATGTGGTGGACAAATGGATGCGAGTGTTGATCGAACAAAATCGTTATTTCTATCAGTTCTTCGGTGCCTCATGTGAACACCTGATTTACTACTGCTACCAAATCCAAAGTGTAGAAGCTCTAAATGCCTTCTTAAATTTCGTGATTGGCGCAAAATTGCCCCGCAAAGTGGACACGACGCCGGCTGATCAGACATGCTTCGTGCTTTGGACAATCCATCTCCTAAAATTAATTCCGTCAAATCTAAACACATTCAAACACACCTGAAAAAGATCACCACAACAATAGGCAATAATCGAATAAGTATACAATCATGGATATTAATCTGTATGTATTTATTGTTCTGACCTTTTTTTTTTTTACCGCTAAGACGTATTGCGACTCCATAAAAGTAGATTAATAGTTATAAATAAATAATTATGCAAAGTACGTACAAAAAGGCCATGTACAGAAAATATTTGCAAAATATTTGCTCGAAGAATTACGACCTGTAGATATTCTTTTATTTAAAAGTATACAGTCTATGATAAAATAAACTTTTGCTATTCTGTCAAACGAATTTGTTACTTATCATTAGTTAAATATACCGTTAACGTAATTCATAATTCATATTGATTTTTGTTTACACCTATTAATTGATTGATATTCTAAATAAAATAACTGCCAATATTTTATAAAGGAACATATAAATTAAGTTTTTAATTTCTTCCTATTTAAGTAGGAACTGAAATTTCTGTCAGTTTATGTTATTATATAAAAGTAAATTCTTTATATATGTATATAATACATTTTTATTTAAATTTGTTAATACGTTTTTATTTAAATTTGAATATTGAGACTTTGTTTTTCTTTTGAAACATATCGACAGAAATCCGAATTCTACTTACACGTGTGTAATGTTAAAATATTAATTTAACATTTTATTGGCAAAAGAAATAAGAGAAAAATAAGCTACAAAGATAGATTTCAATAAGTTTATATAAAACTGATCATACACAGTTATTGCGTAAGTGAATATTTCAAAGATATCGAAAATTTAGAAGTATTTTGCAATACTTATACCACCGCTCTCACTAGGCATAATTTTTCATCGACTATTCCCATTAACCCTAAAGATACTGCTCTTACTTACTAACGTGGAAGATTTTTGTATACTTTAACTTTATTTTGAACGTTCATATTAAACGTTTCGTTTCAAGTTAATTTCATTAATTTTCAATGAAAAAACTCCTAAAATAAGATTATAAACTATACATGTAATATAACAATCAGTTCATTCTGAGAAATTCTACAGAATAATGCCAATCCGTTATAATTTTTCTTAACTGATAAACAATAGTTCGAACATAAATTCATATAAGTACATTAAAACGATAAGTAAAAAAAAAAAAAACGGATGCGCTTCCTTAAATTAAATTTATTACATTACAGAACAAATTGACGAAAAGAAACAAAATAGTTTCACAATCACAACAACAGAATCGGAAGATTCTGTTTGCATCATATCTTCGTTTTCAGTTTTTTTCTGTACATTCATCTAGCGATAGTCGGAGACGGAATGTTGCTCTGAGGGGAAACAACACTCGGGCCCTGTGATGTTGGCGAAGGAAGTGGACTGGGCTTACAAATTATTTGCTCACAGGTACTACTTCCACTATCAGTTCCGTACGTCATGGACTGCTCATTATAACTCGATAACTCGACTTCAGGCTTTACTTCTATCATCATTGCATCGGCTGGGGAACTCTGAACCGGATTACTACTAAACCGATATTTGCACGAGGATAATAGGTGTCTACGTAAATTTCTCGCTTGCCGTAACGTAGCACCACATAATGGACAAACACCTGGACAGTCAGATGCACCTCGTATTTTAGACAAATTCATATTGCCTGTCAGTCCACAAGATCCTGTTCCAGCTGTTGAACCCTGAGTAACTAGTGGGAGTGGTATACCAGGAGGAAAGCCCATATTTAAAGGACCAGGAAATTGCGGTATATGTAGTGGAGAATATGGCTGCATTGGCATTAAAGTGTGAAGATGCGATTCATTGTCCGATATTTGATCTTGATGCGTTCCTGCTTGAGAACTTTCTGCCGACACTGGTTGCGCTTCTTGACCACGGGGCGAGTGACAACTTCGATGATTTGAATATTCCAACCGATCGTTCGCTGTTAACAGACACAAACACAATATTACCATGCAGGGCTGAACTGATTTTCACATCTGAAATTTTCGAATCATTATAGCATATGACGTGATTGATTAGACGCAGTTCAACCCGATTGATGGTTGTGCTTGTGTCCGTTCTAATATATGAAAGCTTGAAAGGAGCTTTAAACACTTATGGATTATGTTCCAAAAACATATTAATAAATGATGAAAACAATATATCGGACACAAAACACAAGTAGATATTGTAGATATCCATTCTTGCCAAAATTTGCTACTAAACTGACCATTAAATATACATAACAATATAATGATCAACTCAGTTCAATGTACAATAATAAAAAGAAGATTGTACTTAAAATATATAGTAAAAAAATGATATTTCTTATTATTCGAAGTAAACATTAAATACGAAATTATAACAAATTTAACGAATATAATAGTTACAAAATATGCTACAATACAAAAAAGTTGAATATTTCTTACCTGTATCATCGCCATGTTCCGTATTATCTTCATCTTTGTGATCATAATTTACCGACCGACTATTATCACTTCCATCTACAGTCCTATTTTCATTCTCAGTAGTATTAACATTGCGTGGCCATTTTCCAGAAGATGAAGATGACTTTCTCCTTTTTTTTCTTCGCTTCAATGGAAAATACGGACTAATGGTTTCTTTTGATAAAGTTTCATTTGCTGTTGGTATTGCTGATACTGGTACCTCCTCCCCATTCTAAAGAAATAAAGATATTAACCATCTTTTCCTTTAAAAATCACTGTTGACTAATATTTACTTGATTAAAAAATTGATAAATATATGGTACAAAGAAAAATATAAATATTTCAATGCAATGTATTATTTAATTATAAAACATACCTCAGTCAATATAGTAGGAGGCGTTAATCCATGAATACAAAGACAATGAGCAGCTTGAAGAAGTGAAGGTAATTGAGAAGGTTCTACACTCACTTCACCACGATACACAAACTCCAACAGTGATTCCAAATCATCTGCTCCTATACCCGCTAACATAACTACTGGATGTTGACATGGTGTGCTCTACTTGTACAAAATAAATTTAAGGACAAGCTGTAATTATGCTGCGTAAAGCATTCAAAGTAATGAGAAAAATAATAACCTTTAATAAATCCAGTAAAAAGGGACTAGCTGCGCAAAGAACTATTTTATGTGCAGGGAAACTGCGTCCACCAGCAGCCAGTGTCACATCAACCAAATCTCCATGACCTCTTAACAATTGTACCGCAGATGCCAGTGATGAACTAAACTCTCCCCAGGAAAGGCTATATAATTGACCACTGCTTCCCATTCTGAATAATAAATTATACATAATTCAAACAAAATTCATGATATTATAACAGAACATTATGATACAGTAATAAGAAAATCAGTATTTCCATATTGTTATAATAAAATTGGCTAAATCTATAATCTATCACAGAGAAAATAAAGAGAATTCAACATATATGCATTTACTTGAATACAATATGTGGATCCGATGTTAATAAAGATTCGAGAAAATTGACCACTAACGGTAACGATACGTGCTCGTCTCCCCCATCCACATTCTCTTAATTAGTGCCCCCACCCCAAAAATACGATCTCGGCGTCGTCTGAAAGTTAACCTAGCAAAAACTTACACCACGAAAAATATAAACAGAACATCAAAGAAAAATGCACGATTATAATCTGACGTAATGGAATTCTTTATATTTTAATTGGAAACAAACAAATTGAAAAGAACTTGGAAATATGCGTGATAGAAAGTAACTCACGTTGTCTTAAAGTTTATCGCTGTAAGTTGCACGTTATGTTACAACAAACCACATTTAATTCGTTGCTCACGCGTTATAGGAACAAGAATGACGCTGTTATCTTTGTAATTTTATGAAATAATTGTTTTCTTCAGCCAGATAGATATATGAAGATTTCGAAATTGAAATTCAAATACTGTCAGAAATTATCGTGCACGTCACATTTTACGTGATTGTGCTGCCATCACATTACCAGTGAAATAGACACTTCTGACTAAACTAAAAATTTTGGCGGAAATAATCGAAAATGTAATAAAATCAAACAGACTTTCGACCTATAAATGTTTTTAAATGCAAGAACTTCTATTAGTTTCCTTAAAAAATGCTTCTTATGTTATATTGCTGAATTATTTAATTCATAATACATTGCAGAATCAGATGCAAAAATTTACAAACAAATCAAATGAAATACATATTAGACTGTAGGTCACTTTCAATGTTTAATTCGGTAAATACAGAAATATATTAAAGATACCTTATTAAATACTATTTTAGTACAATTGATATAAATTAAGACTTGGGAAATATATAATAGTATCAATAATGTTTAGTGAAAATAGCATCAATTTGCAAACAAATTGTAATGAAAAAGAAAATTATTATACCAAGAATACTATGGAAAAAGAAGTTATAAAAGCGTTACAAAAAGAGGGTATTAAATTAATTATATATATAATTAACTACATTATACAATAATTTATTAGCTCTAATTATTAAAGCATATGCTATTTTTTTTATTTAGATACAACTAATTACGAAAACATTAAATACTAAATTTCAATTTTTAGAATATACACTAAATAGGGTAAACAGTTATGGAGAAAATTTGTTACACATTAGCGCAGCAAATGGATGCCTTGATATTGCAGAAGAGATTTTCCGAAAACACGATTGCCGTCAAATTATCGATAGAAAAAATAAATTTGGTTGGACACCATTAATGTTGGCAATTCGTAATAAACATATTAAAATGGTGAAATATCTTTTACAAAATAATGCTAACATAAATGAATCAACTTATTTAGGTATTAAAAGAGATTGGAAATTTTATTTTTTTAATACAGTAAAATTACAATATAAAAATACATTGTTAAATTTAAACATGTACATGTATTTTTGTTGGTTTGTAGGCATGTCTGTTTTTGGATTAGCAGCAGCAATAAATAAAACTATGTTTGAAACTGTATACGATGCATGTCCAGCAACACTCTTAAATTCTCTAAATGATGATATTACACCACTTTGTATTGCTGCTATGAAAAATGATAAAAATTTATTTTTTAAATTGATAGAGTTAGGATTTGATGTTTCCAAAAATAGTAAGATATTATATATTTTTCAAAATTTATGAAATAATAATATGCAATATTGCTTGAAGATTTTCTATTCATTTTAAATAGATTACTATACTCACATTATGATGGAACAGTCAATAGTACCAGAAATAAGGAACTTAGCAAAATATTTTAGCATGGAAAATTATTGGAATGATAATTCGGATAACATTCCTACAGAAAATAAATCAGTTGAAAAGGACAACTTAAATTTTTCCAAATTAATAAATGATAATAACAATAATCTGTCTCCTTCAAAAGTTATTATAACATCCAATACTGATGATTGTAATAACAATATGAAAAATTCAAAAAAATTTTTTAAATCTTTTACATTAAGTTTACCAACAAATCATGCAGAAAATATTCAGTGTAGTTTAATTTCACCTAATTTGACCCTTAATGAAATGTTACCTAGTTCTCCAAATATATATTTTACAGAAAATAAATATAATAAGGAAATTAATATTACAAATGAAACAAAAGATAAACAGTTAGATAAAAACGAAGTAGTATTTCCTTGTGCAAAAAGTAATGTAAATGTAAACGAATTACCTTTGCAGAGGTATATTGATATATGTTATATTACATATATTACATGTAAAATAATATGATAGTTTAATTTTATCATATTATTAAAGATTGCAGTCTATTCGACCATCAGACTTAAATATCCAACACAAAGAAGACCTTGATACTACTCTTGAATATGTGCCTGAATTTAGTCCACTGCGACCATCAAACGTTCCTCCAAATATAAATGATGAAAATGTATTTGGGGAAAATACACCAACACCACCACGTTACAGGACACCCCCAAGAGGGATGATTTTAAATCCAGAAGAAGCAAAAATGTTTGTTTTACTAAAACATCATGGATTAGGTCAACATTTGCCTATATTTCTTGAACAAGAAGTAAATATATCATAATTTTATTGTAAATTATAATAACATAATGTTGATTGATACCATACTAACTCATAAATTGAATGTTTTATTTGTTTTCTATACATTTGTTTTAAAATACAACAATTACTTACTAAATATTATATTGTAATTTAATGCTTATTTATTTTAGGTTGACATTGATTTGTTTATGACTTTAACTAATGAAGATTTAATTGAAATTGGTATAGAAAGTGAAGTTGATAGAAAAGCTATATTAGATGTTATAATATATTATAAAAAGTCAGACATATAAGAATACATTTGTTGTTATTAATTATTTTTTATTATGTATTATTGTTTCATTTTATTGTATGATTTAATGTATAACAATTAAAAATATATTATATTATGTATTTAATACTAATGATTTCTATTTTTAGTATTTATTATATCAGCATATTATTTTTTTTATAATAATATATATTTAAAAATATATATGACACTTTTTGCTTAAAATGTACTATATACGAAATTGCTGTAAAATTTGTGTATTTTTAATATGAGATAATATTTTGTTAATAAGTTCAGTTTTTCTTGCTTTAGAATTATGTGGAATTGAATGCTTTTTGAGCCAATCACTTAATTCACTATTCTTCATTTGATCTAATTTATTCATTTTTGCCATTGCCTCCACAGAATTTTGGCCCTATTTAATAAAGTATAAGATAATTATATAAAATTTTTAATTAATAATATAAAGTAAATATACTAGTGCATACTGATAAAAATATACTGCTATCTTCACTGGATTTAGCTTTTGACAATTTCTCTTTTAATGTTAATTTTTTTTGTTTTTGTCCCTCTTCTTGTGTTAACTATTTTTAAATGAAAAAGATTATAAGTAAAATAAAAACAAAATGATAAAATATGCATATCTTACGAAAAAAATGTAAAAGAAGGTACCTCTTTTGTTTTAACATAAGAATTCGTTTTTTGAATTTTAAAGTATGTGGAAATTGTTTCTTCTTCTGATACAATAAAATTATTCTTTGAATTTTGTGATATATTTCCCATGATAAAATTATTTCTCATATCTTGTGTAGATGAAGCATTTAAATATTGAATATCTGAAACATTGAATATATGAAATTTATCTTATAATTAAAATTATTTTAGAATTATTTTTACAATTGTATTATTATTTTAGTACCATTTTGATTACCTTCCACATCCTTGTTGCTTAATTTTATTCGCTTATTTTCATCAAATCGTACATTATGAATTTGATGAATTTTAGTTAATTGTGTTTTTGATGATGTAGCAGTATTTGTATCTTTTGTTAATCCATCTACATTTTTATCAGAAAATTCTAATTCTGAAGTAATATTACTCTTTTCCTCAAGATATCTATCTAATCCTTTATCTTTTGCTACTACATTGAATGATACATGTGTATTTAGAGACGTCTATATGAAATAAAGTATCAATTGAAACAAATTTTTTTTTTTCTTATAAGTATTGAATAAAGATTATTACATATCTTTTGTGACTTACTGTATTAAATGGAGTATCTTTGGATATTTGTAATTGTTTACCACAAATTATAGGTAATTTCACAAGCATATCAGACAAGAAATGTGTGATTGTAGACTTTTTATCTCTACTGGAAATAACTTCTAATGGATTTTTTGCTATACACATATGAGGATATGTAAAAACTTTAGATTTAGGAATCAAAAATTTAATTTCATAATATAAAATTCCATCTTTAATTTTTGGCAAGGAATATCCATACTGAAATATTATATATATAATATGTATATGCAAAAATATTTGGAAGCAATTTAAATTATAAAATACACAAGATGATACATAGACATTTATACCATATTTTTCCAGTGTCTACGTAATTGTTCATAATCTTTGAAAACACAGTTTGCTGGAAGTTCTTTAGATACAGATAATAATTTGCCTCTCTTCATGCTATAGAAATTTTAAAATCTTATTTTAAAACTTTATTTAACTTTTTATAAAATAAATGTAGACTGATATACATACAATAAAAAAAATTATCATTACCTTGGTAATACATATACAAATGGAAGTTTATAATGAGATAAATCAATGTATCCTTTAGGGTCTGCTAAAAAGTGAGATATAATATATGGTGGAAGATAATCTTCAAGTGTTATGTATGGAATTTTAATTATTTGTGCACGAAGTTGTAAACATATATTATTTTCTAAAAATTTATTAACTATTAATATATAAGATTTTTTGCTATTATGATATAAAGAACAAAATTAAAAATCTTTTATTACCCTTTTTAAGTATGTCTAATTTTAATCCTCTAATACCTTCTACAAAATTATAAAAATTTTTTCCTTGAACAAAATAGTCACCAACTTTGTTCCACAAAGGACATATCTTAGTCTGTATTGTATAGATAAGACAATTTTTGTAAAGTTCCATAGTAACTGACCGTAATCCTTGATACTAACAAGAATAAAAACTAGTTTATTATTAAAATAATCCATTCAAAGTTAATGGAAATTTATATCTTGAACAAACCACTAATTTAAAATTTTTTAAAATTCTTTCCAATTTTCCAGCTTCAAAAAATTTTTTATATCCAATGACAAATATACACCTTTCTGTTCCCAATACTGGTGAAGCAATAACATCGGATATTAAATGAATAAGTAATCTAAAATTATATTATTCATAAAATGTGAAAATTATTGTTGAAACATTTAAAAAATTATAAAAAAAAGTTTTTAATTTATAGGAATTATGGACTAACCGGCATTTTAATGTTTGCCAATGAAAATATGATTTTGCTGATGAATCGTGAACTTCAATAAAATCAATTTCACAAATTGCACAACGTAAATCATTTATGTGCGAAAATGAAGCGTACAAAACTGATTGTTCTTTTCTTTCGTACATAAGTTTACAAGCATCCATTATGCAATTATGTAGTTCGTTATATATTTTTAATTATTTTATGTTCTTTTAAATTTCATATATTTCCACATATATGATATATATTTTCGAATGTATAGCCAACATTAAAAACATTAAAAGCTCCAGAAATACTTTAAATTTACTTTCTATGAAAAATTTATAATGTTCTACTTTGAATTATTTTAAAATTAAATTTATAAGTATAACGTCTAAATTTTTTATGTTTAAAGCAAATTATAAATTTTTTTAAGTAAATGTTTCAGAACTACGTTAAAATGTAGATTAGAATGTAGATATAATTTTCATTCTAAAGACAACTTAAAATGTTGATCATTGAAAATATGAAAAATATTGTTCCAAGAAATATTCTTCTTAAATTCATGATTCTTATTCCGCTTAATTGATCTCTTTCTTATCAGTTCTATTCTATTTTATATTATTAATGTACAACTTAGCTAAAAATCAGAGTCAAAAATCAAGAATCAAAAATTTTCTTTAAGAAGCAAAACGGTTCTTAATAATTAAACATATCTCCATCAAAACATTTAATATATTACAATTTCTAACAATTCAGTTCAAACTTTTCCAATAGGATATTTTGTCTTTTAAACTTTTAATTTACTATTAGTGTTACGGCAGTTACATGTTGAATCTTTGAATAATACACAGATATATCACATATTTCGAATATATAAGTACAGATAAGTATTATAATAGTACGAATATATAGTACAGATATAAATTTCGAATCTCGTTCCTCTTTTTCATATCAATATCGTCAAACGTAAAGGCAAGTTCATATGTAACGTAATAACTCAAACACCGTTTACATTGTTTCCAATTTAGGGAATTTAGAATCTATACTTTGGAATATACAAGTTGTACGTTATTTTTCATCCCTCCTTCTGAGGTGTATTATCATTTTCTGCTTTTTTTGGTTTTTTGAGAAACTTATAGTTCAACTTGTGTTGCAAATATCTTCCTGTAAATTATTTAAACAAATGTAAGTATAACATAACTGCATTTTTGTATTGTGTATAAAAATATTACGTGAGTTTTCAAATAATCAATATCGTATGTCTCATTCACGAGTCTCCATTATTCTTCTAAATTGAAAATATATAGAGATACTAAAAAGCTTATTTTAGAGTTTGCTATTACAAGACATCTATTTATAAAATATATATTATTGTATGTATATGCAAAAATTAAGAATTGATAAATTTTTGAAAATTAAATGTGAATTAAACGAATTAAATTTTTTAAAGCTTTCGTTAGAAAGCCATTTCAGTATCATGATAACACAGCATTGAACAGCATTGAACATTTGTTTAAACTAAATAATTTAATCATATGATCTTGTAATGTATAAAAAAATAAAACAAATTTTTATATCTTTCAATACGAGTGAAAACAATTTCTTGATACATCTTCAAAGAAACGATTTTTTGTTCTAAGTAACAGACATTTGAGTTATATAAGGTTATTATTTTTTATAGTAATTATACTTATAGTTCACTTTTTCGAATTTTATTTATTTTGCTATAGTTTTTTCCTCAAACGTTTTGTTATATCACTAAAATATATATTTATCATATACCATCATCATCATCATCATTCATTGATTTATATTTTTAAAGTATGATGCAACAAAGACAAAGAGAGTGACATTTGATATGCGAGTTATGCTTGTGAATATATGCACATATAGATAGAATTAAATGTATTAGTAGTTCCTTGCAAGCATCTATAAAATTGAGAGAATTTAATATTCATGTAAAAGGGAGAAGTTGTTAAAAATGCTGATTTCTATAACATATATTAAAGATAAGGAGTAGTTACAATTTCATTTTTTAACATGACGCTGTAATAGATATAATTTTTATTCTTTTGTACCTTTTATCTTTGTACAGCTTCATACAATTATGCAGATCTTCGTTAAGACCTTAACAGGAAAAACTATTACCCTTGAAGTTGAAGCTTCTGACACAATAGAAAATGTGAAAGCAAAGATCCAAGACAAAGAGGGAATTCCTCCAGACCAGCAGCGTTTGATTTTTGCTGGTAAACAATTAGAAGATGGGAGAACTCTCTCAGACTACAATATTCAAAAAGAATCTACTCTTCACTTGGTGTTGCGACTTCGTGGAGGAATGCAAATCTTTGTCAAAACACTCACTGGAAAAACTATTACTCTTGAGGTAGAGGCTTCAGACACAATAGAGAATGTTAAGGCAAAAATTCAAGATAAAGAAGGAATTCCCCCTGATCAACAACGTCTGATTTTTGCTGGCAAGCAATTAGAAGATGGACGAACACTCTCAGACTACAATATCCAAAAGGAATCTACACTCCATTTGGTATTGCGACTTCGTGGTGGCATGCAGATCTTTGTCAAAACACTCACAGGAAAAACCATCACCTTGGAAGTAGAAGCTTCTGACACAATAGAGAACGTGAAAGCAAAGATCCAAGACAAAGAAGGAATTCCTCCAGACCAGCAGCGTTTGATCTTTGCTGGTAAACAGTTAGAAGATGGGAGAACTCTGTCAGATTATAACATTCAGAAAGAATCAACACTCCATCTTGTTTTGAGGCTTCGAGGAGGCATGCAAATCTTTGTCAAAACATTGACAGGAAAAACCATCACTTTAGAAGTAGAAGCTTCAGACACAATAGAGAATGTAAAAGCAAAGATCCAAGACAAAGAGGGAATTCCTCCAGACCAGCAGCGTTTGATCTTTGCTGGTAAACAGTTAGAAGATGGGAGAACTCTGTCAGACTATAACATTCAGAAAGAATCAACACTCCATCTTGTTTTGAGGCTTCGAGGAGGCATGCAAATCTTTGTCAAAACATTGACAGGAAAAACCATCACTTTAGAAGTAGAAGCTTCAGACACAATAGAGAATGTGAAAGCTAAAATTCAAGACAAAGAAGGAATTCCTCCTGACCAGCAACGTTTGATCTTTGCTGGTAAACAGTTAGAAGATGGGAGAACTCTGTCAGACTATAACATTCAGAAAGAATCAACACTCCATCTTGTTTTGAGGCTTCGAGGAGGCATGCAAATCTTTGTCAAAACATTGACAGGAAAAACCATCACTTTAGAAGTAGAAGCTTCAGACACAATAGAGAATGTGAAAGCTAAAATTCAAGACAAAGAAGGAATTCCTCCTGACCAGCAACGTTTAATCTTCGCTGGTAAACAATTAGAGGACGGGAGAACTCTCTCGGACTACAACATCCAAAAGGAGTCTACTCTCCATTTGGTGTTGAGACTTCGAGGAGGCATGCAAATTTTTGTCAAAACACTCACTGGAAAAACCATTACTCTTGAGGTAGAGGCTTCAGACACAATAGAGAACGTGAAAGCAAAGATCCAAGACAAAGAAGGAATTCCTCCTGACCAGCAACGTTTGATCTTTGCTGGTAAACAGTTAGAAGATGGGAGAACTCTGTCAGATTATAACATTCAGAAAGAATCAACACTCCATCTTGTTTTGAGGCTTCGAGGAGGCATGCAAATCTTTGTCAAAACATTGACAGGAAAAACCATCACTTTAGAAGTAGAAGCTTCAGACACAATAGAGAACGTGAAAGCAAAGATCCAAGACAAAGAGGGAATTCCTCCAGACCAGCAGCGTTTGATCTTTGCTGGTAAACAGTTAGAAGATGGGAGAACTCTGTCAGACTATAACATTCAGAAAGAATCTACACTCCATTTGGTATTGCGACTTCGTGGTGGCATGCAGATCTTTGTCAAAACACTCACAGGAAAAACCATCACCTTGGAAGTAGAAGCTTCTGACACAATAGAGAACGTGAAAGCAAAGATCCAAGACAAAGAAGGAATTCCTCCTGACCAGCAACGTTTGATTTTTGCTGGCAAACAGTTAGAGGATGGACGAACTCTTTCGGACTACAATATCCAAAAGGAATCTACACTCCATTTGGTATTGCGACTTCGAGGAGGCATGCAAATTTTTGTCAAAACACTCACAGGGAAAACCATTACCTTGGAAGTAGAAGCTTCTGATACAATCGAAAATGTTAAGGCGAAAATTCAGGACAAGGAAGGAATTCCGCCTGATCAACAACGCTTAATCTTCGCTGGCAAACAGTTGGAGGATGGAAGGACTCTGTCAGATTATAACATACAAAAAGAATCAACACTTCATCTTGTATTGAGACTTCGAGGAGGTATGCAAATATTTGTTAAAACGCTCACAGGTAAGACCATCACCTTGGAAGTAGAAGCTTCTGACACCATAGAAAATGTGAAAGCTAAAATTCAAGACAAAGAAGGAATTCCTCCTGACCAGCAACGTTTGATCTTTGCTGGGAAGCAGTTAGAAGATGGGAGAACTTTGTTGGATTACAACATTCAAAAGGAATCTACATTACATTTGGTTTTAAGACTCCGAGGTGGTGTGCATATTTCCTCTCTGGAGCAACACATTTCACATAATGGTTGCCTGCTTGAACTTGCAAATGTGCAGGTTGAAGACGTTAATCATTTGAAAAACAAGGAAGAATGTTGCAGTTAATAACCTGATAAAGGTTCTACTTTTGATCTGCCTGACAGCAAGATCTGTTGGCGGTATCCAGTAAAATTGATAGTATTGATAGATATATTATATTACTTTTTTATGTATATTTCATATTCACTTGCCATAAATATATACTACTTGCTGTCGATATATAGTACTTTATGCAAGAATGGCAAGTGACTAACCTAATTATGTATGAACCTATTTATGAATGACTAAACTTCTTGTAATGTATTTATGTTCATTAAACAGTTGTCGATACATTCCCAATATAAATGGTTTTATTTATTTCGTCTTTTACTTGTGTAGTAATGCATATTTAAATATTGTATTATCTGACTATTTTGTTTTATATTCTTTAATTTATTGTGTATTGCAGTACATCAGTCATTAATATTTTGTTTGTAATAAATTATTTAAATAAAGAAATATCTGCTATCTGTAAACATAATTTGTAGTTCTTTTTTTATTATTTTTCTTTATATTTAAATTTTTTCGATTGTAAAATGTGATTCTTAATGTATACTATATACCTTAATATAATAATATGCTATATATTTTCTACTTTAGTTAAATAACTAATTACAAATTTAGTTGATTGATAAAGCATTTGATTTCACTACATTTTTGTTCCTATATACATATCTTCTGAGATTATACGTTAGTTTTAACAGAATTTTTATCAATTTCATAGATTTATTAAACTTTTTGTAGTTTTATTTCACATTTTAAGACATAGAAGTAAAAAAATATTAGAGATGAGAAAAATTTTAGACAAATCACAAGATTTTCAGGAAATTTATACAAAAGATTATTTTTCTTTAATAAGCATATGTATATATAATTATATATTTGATTGATAGATTTGATTGATCCCTTAATGATGTTATTTTCATTTAAATTCCATTTGTATCTATACATATATAATTATATGAATTTTTGGGTAAGGGATAGGATATTTTTTGGCTTTTAAATTTAATTTTATTTACATATATAACATTAACTCTAATTTAATGAAATATTATGTTTTAAATTTTTAATTAATTTTAAATACATTTTAGCTTTAAATACTTGATACCAAATAAATAAAGGAATATTTAAATATTATTGTTAGTATAATATGAAAATTTTTTTATTGAAAATTAATTAATTAATTTAAATATATATATATATATATATATATATATATATATATATATATATAGTACATAATATCTGATTATATACAAATTAATACGAGTTGTAGTACAGGGTGTCCATAAAGTCTTTTTACAATTTCAAAAATTTATTACAAAGGCAAATGAAAAGACAGATAAGTGGAGATTATTACAAAATGAGATATATATATTTAAGTTTTTTTTGCCTCATTCATAACTTTGTGCACTGTTGAACGTGGTAGCTTTAATTGTTTGGCAGCAGTACGGATAGACTGTTTAGGAAAACAATCGAAGGCTTTCTTTATACGATCGATGTTTTCCTCAGATGTTTTAGGTCGTCCACTCCTCTCTTTGTCGAATATTGTCCCTGTCTCCATAAATTTCTTGTGCCATGCACGAATTGATGGACGTGACGGTGGACGTCTTCCATACTTAGTTTTGAAGTTTCGCTGAGTCTGCACATCCGATTTGGTTTCAATAAACCACGATACACACTGTGCCTTCTCTTGAGGAGTAGCCATTTTGTAAGGAGTTCATTTAACAGTATCTTATTCAACAGGATACCTGAAATGCAATATGGTAAAAACCTTGATAACCACTGAATACATAGAACAAATCTGATGAAAATATCTCATTAATTGCCTTTGTAATAAATTTTTGAAATTGTAAAGAGACTTTATGGACACCTTGTAGATTTAATGTTCACATTATGGCGTATTTAGATCAAACGAACAAATACTCGTTCGTTTCCTACTTTGATCAAATTTGTGCTCGTATTCGTATTGTTAAATTAACTATATGAGTAGCTAACAGATGTTAATGTAATAAACTTTCGCCTCCTACTTCGACAAAATTCAAATTCAAATCAACATTTGCTCGCAAACATAACAACTTGTTTACATTAAACGAATTTTGAAATAAATTTGCTCCTTTAAAAATATAACTTTATATTTTCAGTACTGGAAAGTTATTTTTAATATTTTCTATATTATTTTTAACGTCTGGAATTTCAAACTTACTATTTAATAATACTACTAAATATCTATATCTATTCTAGTTACATGTTCTACGTTATACGCCATCCATTTTTTTGGCTAACTACTGCATCGGCTTTTCAAGTTCGTCCGATTTAAATTTCCACAATTTCGTTAAACTTACGTTATAAATAACATCTCACAAATTATTCGAAAGTATGTAAGTATACTACATAATTGCATAACGGTATTAAATGAATTGTCAAATAATAAATAGTTTTTAGTTTTATTATTGAGCTACCATTTTACCGAACACTATTATATCATATTGATTATTTTAGAAGAAGGCTCATTTACGAGTTTAATATCGTAATAACTATTGTTTTTATTGTATATTTATTTTTGTATATTAGTTTTAAAACTTTACTTAATTAAGAGTTAATAATAGTATACATAAACACAATTATTTATACTATATATATGATAACATAAGGACATACATATGATGATATATATTGTAAATTGCCTGGCATATTTCTTTCTTAAAACTACGATTAAAATACTATTTCATTATTATATTCAATAGCATTGAACGTTTGTACAATTAAATCTTATTATTATATTATTATAAAAGTAGTGTGATATTTAAAGGAAAACAAATTCTTTAAAAAAATAACTTCCTGATACAATAATACAATGTACAAAAGTTATTAATTCCTTTCTTTTCCTTATCTATCAAAAGTTTAAGTTTGCTCTATATTTTCATCATATACTATCATCAATCATGTGATGCTGATATTCGTTTACTAATTTTTTCTAGATCTAGAACCATGCAGATCTTTGTTAAGACCTTGACAGGAAAAACTATTACTCTTGAAGTTGAAGCTTCTGACACAATCGAAAATGTTAAGGCAAAAATTCAAGACAAAGAAGGAATTCCACCTGATCAGCAACGCTTGATCTTTGCTGGCAAACAGTTAGAGGATGGAAGGACTTTGTCAGATTACAACATACAGAAAGAATCAACACTCCATCTTGTATTGAGACTTCGAGGAGGTATGCAGATTTTTGTTAAAACGCTCACAGGTAAGACCATTACCTTGGAAGTAGAAGCTTCTGACACAATAGAAAATGTGAAAGCTAAAATCCAAGACAAAGAAGGAATTCCTCCTGACCAGCAACGTTTGATCTTTGCTGGGAAGCAGTTAGAAGATGGAAGAACTCTTTCGGACTACAACATTCAAAAGGAATCTACTCTCCATTTGGTGTTGAGACTTCGAGGAGGCATGCAAATTTTTGTCAAAACACTCACTGGAAAAACTATTACTCTTGAGGTAGAAGCCTCAGACACAATAGAGAATGTGAAAGCTAAAATCCAAGACAAAGAAGGAATTCCTCCTGATCAGCAACGTTTGATTTTTGCTGGCAAGCAGTTAGAAGATGGAAGAACTCTTTCGGACTATAACATTCAGAAAGAGTCTACTCTCCATTTGGTGTTGAGACTTCGAGGAGGCATGCAAATTTTTGTCAAAACACTCACAGGGAAAACCATTACCTTGGAAGTAGAAGCTTCTGATACAATTGAAAATGTTAAGGCAAAAATTCAAGACAAGGAAGGAATTCCTCCTGACCAGCAACGTTTGATTTTTGCTGGCAAACAGTTAGAGGATGGACGAACTCTTTCGGACTACAATATCCAAAAGGAATCTACACTCCATTTGGTATTGCGACTTCGAGGAGGCATGCAAATCTTTGTCAAAACACTCACAGGGAAAACCATTACCTTGGAAGTAGAAGCTTCGGATACAATCGAAAATGTTAAGGCAAAAATTCAAGACAAAGAAGGAATTCCTCCTGACCAGCAACGCTTGATCTTTGCTGGGAAACAATTAGAAGATGGGAGAACTTTGTTGGATTATAACATTCAAAAGGAATCTACTCTGCATTTAGTGTTGAGACTCCGTGGAGGAAGTTCTAAACTGCCTTGAAAGTAAGATCTGTCAAAAATATCTAGTAAAATTGGTAGTATTAAAAGCTCCATTATTTCACTTTTTTATGCACATTTTATATTCTGTATTACTAGGTATAAAGATGTTTGTTTATCTGTATGTAATATCAAAAGTTACAAGTTATATTGATATGTATAACTATGTATACATTATTGTAGTGTGGTTATATTCATTAAATATTTATTAATACATAAATTACTAATATGAAAATATTTGTCCCTTATTTCTTCCTTATTTATAATAGTAATTTTGATTTATCGAATGTTATTAAAATTGGATTATATGAATAAAGGAATAAAAAGGAATAAAATGATACAAATTGGTTAAGTAAAATAATTATAATTTTAATTTATGGTTACATTGATATTTTTAAAAACAGAACAGCGCCTTTCTGGAACTTTGTCTCTTGGAATACCAACCAGGGAAAAAAATCATTGGTTTTTGAGTGCACTTTTTGCTCAAACTATTGACTACTAATGGCATTGAATGAGAATAGAATCGATAGAATAAACTAGATTCATGTTTAGTATCAGTTATTAAGAAAATTAAATTTATTAAATTTTTTAAAATTGGACTCGGGTTCAAAACATAAAATTACAAACAAAATAGACGTAACTTTTTACATTTTACAGACGTAAACATTTTTATAGAAAATTTTATTTAATGAACGAAAAGAATTAGAGAGGAAGGAAATTTTTATTTTTCTTTTCAATTATGATTTCAAGATATTCTCATACGAAATGGGCGTGTGATAATTTCAGTAAAGATTACAGCGCCAATGAGGCGGTGAAATTTCACAACATAATCGATTTTTGTAATCGATTTAATATTGGGATGTATAACCGTCAGTTTTAAGCGGGAAGCGTAGCAAGAAGCTGCTTGCCGGAAATTGTCGCCTAAAAATTACCGGTATGACTTGTTTTTGTATTATCAAATACATTTATAATTTAAAATAGTGAACATTATTTAAAAGAGTTATTACATATACATATATTCAATTATGATCGTGCTTTGTTAGAGACATTTTCATCGGGGTTTTATTTAGTGATATTTGCAATGATTTTCTTTTCATTGGATGGGTCATCAATTACATACGTCGCCTCTCGCACCTAATTAGTAAGTCGCATGATTTCTATTTTATCATAATTAATTATGATTATTTAAATCATCATAATAAGAGTAAAAATCTAATAATTTCCAAAGTGACTCAAATGTTTATACTGTCGTGTTAGATTAAAAGGGCATACATATCTGCAACTTTTGCTTAAATCAAGTCATTAATGCCAAGTTGCGCAAAAATTGTCTATATGTTATAAAAAATCGTTGACTGCATTGAAGCTATAATAGTTTATATTTTGGATGTTTATGAAATTGATGTCTGATTGTTAAATACTGTAAGTTTTTTCTCTAAAGTTATTTGTTAAATTATAAATAAATAGTATTAAATAGATAGATCTATTTTATTCCATATCATCTATTTTAATAGATACTATCAAATAAATAGTATGCAATCGGAATGCATTAAAATTGAAGAACATTAAAATATAAGTTTCTGCGAAATTATAGACAAGGTATAGAATAGATATGACATCTTATGGAAGACATGACACCTTCGCGTCATACGTTCTGAAATACCGACATGGTAAAACAAAGTATTGTCCTTTTAGCGCACTCTATATTTAAAGAACGGTGAATCGGAGAATTACAAATAAAACGGTTGAAATTGCTCAAGTAACAAATGCGCCAAAGACATGAAATCCGTTATAATTTATTAAATCTTATCGAATTTTCAATAGAAGCTGGTAAAAAGTGACATCATTCTATTAAATCAAAAAGAACTCTATCTGTATTTTACGGATTCATGATAGATTTTTATACATAATTCTAAAGCCATTAATACATAGTTCTTGATATAAATGATTTATATTTCATGAAACATTTTTAAAAACAATTCTTGACTAATTAAATTTTCAACTGTTTGTTAAATTATTTTCTATGGAAGTTTAAGTCAATTGGTCATAATTTATAACCATCAAATTTAATTTTTTTATTTATTTATATTACATACACAAATTTTAACGTTAAGCTTTTACAGTTTTATGATAGTTCAATGCAGTGCATTGAATATAAATGAAATTCTATTATTTTCGTTAACTAAAAATTTCACATTTATTAATAATAATTCAATAGAAATCATCTTTAATTAACTGGATGATTTAGCGATACTTTCAAAAATAAGTGCTTTTCTCTATTGTAGTTAAAGGATCTTATAAATATATTATAAATAAATTGTTAAAATTATAAATAATAATAAATTGTTAAATTTATATATAAATTATAATAAATTGTTAAAATTGTTAAATAATACTTGGGAATATCATAAAAATGTATTAATGACTTAGCTGTTATAAATAATCTATTAAAATATTTAAATATTATTTAGAAATATAATTGTTGAAGTGAATTGATAGCTTAATCGTTATAAATTAATTATTAGAAATAGTAGATAATGTCGAAACATTTAGAATATATATTCAGAGATTTTATTAACACGGAGTTTTTATAAAACCATGTTTATGCGGCAAATGTTCTAACAATATTGACAGTATAGTGTCGATCGATGTTAATATTAGAGTGGCGTAAAATTTGTGGCCTTGAGAGTATTTCGAGATATCATTTCTCTATTATTCGTTTATAATTCATCAATAATTTGATCATTTTTAATTCAATATAAATTAATGCAATAATAAACATTATCATTTATCATTCTATCCTTCATTTTATTTGCAATATCAATTGACTTATTGCTAGTAAAAAGAAAATGCCAAGAAATAAAACTGAAAATTCGTGGAAGTGTACACCAATCAATGTACAGTGTATTAATTATTTACTCAACGTTACTGACTGTTAATTTATGCACTCGTATTTTAATACGTAACTGATTGCTGCCAACCAATGTTGTAATCGCCATTTTGCAGTTCTTCGAGCTGCATTAGGTGAATACAGGAGCTGCATCGTAATTTATATATTTTCCCATTGTATGCACTCGTGCATTTTCCAAATGTCTCGTAAACCGTATCATAAAAATCCGCAGTTTAATTATTATCATGCACTTTCCGTGTTTTTTTCTTGGCTTGGACAACACGCGTAAGAAGCGTAATCGGAAGCGTTAGGTTCGTTAACGACCCTCGTCGCGACTTCCTCGAGCCCTTTGAGGAACGTTCGTTCTTCTACGGTTAATTATTATCCGTGAGCGCGTGAATCGCGTGACCAGCGTCGTCCCACAGCCGTGAACCCGGAACCACGTGCATATTTCCTACATGAAGAATTTCTTTTTTTCTTCTTCTTTTTTGTCGTGTCTCTTTTTTTTCTTCCTCGGTTCTTTGTTCGGCGAGGCTCCGATCGGCTCGACGTGGCGATCGTCGAGATCGTCGACCAAGTCACGGGCGAAATACCGCGGAACAAGTGAAATTGTATCACGTTGAAACGTTCCGAATAGAAAGTGCCGCGAGCAGCACTCGCGATTGCTACACCTCTCCCCCAATCATATTCGCGGACTATCAAAATGGTAAAATCGAAACCAAGAACCAAATCCGTTCACGTTAACACTAACTATCGACTAAAATTTGCATCAATGAAATTCGAGTGCAAGGAATAAGGAAAATATTCTTTTCTTTTTTTTTTTTTTTGCGATAAAGAATACAAGCTTTTACTAATGCAGTTTACGAAAAATTATTCAAATTTTTAAAAATACATCCCCATGAATCATGGAAAAATTCATGAAAAGTTATGAATTTGTTATTTTAATATTGGTGGTTCTAGTGATAGATACGTACATTAAGTATTTAGTTTACTTCTGTTCGTTCTGTGTTGAAGAATAAAATCTTTTGGAAAGATTAATTTAAATCCCTTTCAATTTTATACATATGTAAATTTCAACTGGAAGAATTAATGATTAAAAAGATGTTAGACAAACTTTTGGAATTGCATTTCACAAGTATAATGTTAAGAAACAGATCTGACAATCGAAAATAAAATTTTTAATAAAAAGAAAATGATTTAAAATACAGAAAGGTTTCAAAGAAAAATCGAAAGAATAAAATTTGATGATAGAAAGTTCGTGACGTTCGTGAATATATGATTAATGGATTGTAAACATTTATGCAAATTTAAATTTTTATGAATTTAATTAAAAAGAATAAGACCTGAGGGTTGATATACTTATAAAGTATACTAAATATACTATTAAGTATACTAATTACTAAATATACTAAATCTTAATATCATTAATATTTAATTCCAATGTTAATAATTAATATGGACTTAAATTACATTAATTATAAGAATCATATAATAAATTAATATAAATTTTGAATAAATGAGAAAATAGTAATAACATAGTAAAGGAAAAGAATATACTTAATTTAATTATGATGAAAGATGTAAAATAAATGTGTAAAGTAATCAAATAACAGCAACTTGAAGACATTATTAAGTATTTGAAAATGTGAAAATAATGAAACGTTAAAATGAAAAAGAAAACATAGACAAAATTATTTGATCTATATTTAAATTTGAAAAATAAACGAAAAAACAACGAACAATTTGAAATAGCAATTGATTAGCAACAATTTGAAGTAGGAAACGATTATTCGCGAAATTACAAGTAAGTACGAGCATTCATTTTTTTGTTTCTGCGTTTCCGTGAGGAAACAATTGTTATTTTTGCACGGTTTCAGGAAAAACATTACGTAAATTGTCGTCGTTTCTTGTATAATTTAAACGGAGTTAGAGTGAAATCTCAATCGATCGTGTTTTAAAGCGATTGTTACGTGGAACGATGAAAGTGCATGGCAATAAAATGTGACATTAAGACGTATTTTTTTCTTACATAAAACGTTCTACCGCGTTTTCTTTCTAAATAGGAAACGATATTCATTTTAAAAAAGACCTTTTTTTTATAACTAAAGTTTTATATTTTCTTTATTGCTCGAATCTTATGTGTAAATTGCTTTATCAACCAAACTATGAAGATATATAAATGAATAAAATTTTTATATCCAGACTTGTGTCACTTTCATCGCAAATGTATAATAACTCGACTGCATAGTTTCAAATTCATATATTACAAAAAGTACTACAGTTTGAATATTTTTTATATTTCTTATATTACTTACATTCAGCGTATTTTGAAA